AGGAACCAGCAGATCAAGTAGCTTTTGGAATAAAACACCAATTTTTTTAAAATTAAACACTATCTAAAGATTTGCATCGAAGCGTTTATTTTTGATAGTGATTTTAATCACTGTCAGATATCATTTACTTGATCCAACTATGCCACGTCACCACTGTGCCGCGACCCCCCTGTGCTGGGTTTTTTTTTTATTTAAAATTGCCATAACTTTTTTAAAAATGATCGAATCAATATAATTTTTTTTTATAGATACCTTAGGTATTTACCTATTATTTTGTATATTTTTATGAACATTTGATCTTTTACAACCCAACAGGAAGGGTTTCAAAATGGTAACTTTTTTACAAAAAATTAACTTTTTCAACTTAACTTTTGAAAATGTTCCGGAAAGACTGACACTTTTATATATACCTTAAATTAAAGCTAATGTAGTATACCTGACAAGAGAAGTACAGATTTTCATAAATATTATATAAATAAAAAATTGGTATAGCATAGAATGTTAAACTTATTTAAATTTTTTTGCTTTTTGAAGTCGAGAAAAATAATTTTGAAATTTAAACTAGCTTAAATAGCCAATATTTTCAATCAACGTTAGCGATGTACGGTTGCCGAGTCGGTTAAACTTGAGTATTACGTTCTGGGGTACAAGGTTCCAACCCGCATATGACAATAAATTTGTTGCATTTTTTCATAATTCTTGTTAAGTTAGAATAAATTTTCAACTGCTTTGATTATTATCTCATTTAGATTTAATAACTTCAATAAATATCAAGGATCCCATCACTGTTGTCGCCACTCTCGAGAATAATTTTTTATTCATATTAAAATTATTTTACTGTATTTTAAGTTTTAGCTTCGATGTGAAGATGAGAAAATTTTTTTTTGCGACTATTATTTATTTTCTCTGCTCTAACTTGTTGTGTTTCGGGTGGTAATTATATTGAATAAATGAACAACACCGTGATTAAATATCAGTGAAAATATATTTTACAATTGCTATATCCGTAAGATTACATAAAAACAAAATCAGTTTCAAAGGAAGTAGACAATAGCCAAAATGTTAATGATGTGATATTATTCTTGTTAGTGGCCGGCGGCCTGGACCGGTTCTCCTCACCCGCGGTCACTCGGCGTCGCGCGACCTGTCGGACGAGGAGAGGTAGCTGTGTCGCAGTCGCCATCCAGCGGTAAAGCCGGAAGTGCAGTGCGACCGCGTCAAACTTGACCTACTTTTATCAACGATACGTCAAATGACTACAATTCGTATCTAGTTGAAGATATTACCCTCAAAAATTGAAAAAAAAATTCTAATTTATCAATTAAACAGTTAGTTATTACATGTTCTCCATAGAGACAATTAAAATCATTCATTTCTAATGTTTTCAAAATATTTATTGACGAATCAAGTTTGATATGATAATTTGATATGATAGATTTCAAATACAAAATTAAATCATTTTACTTTGTAATTTAATAATATTTTACTGTATTTGTGTGTGCTACTACTAGACTATAATATTCCAAATTTGTTGGTAACATGATGTATAATATAAATCAATTTAAAAAAAAATGATTGTTAGTTTCTCCTGAATTAACAATGGATTTTTTCAATTATAATCAAATTTTATTATACGATCAATTGAGAAAATCTTTTTAACAACTTTGTTTTGATTGGTTTAGTTAAAGTAAATCATTAAAATTAATTAAGTTCTGAATATTGCAGAATCTTTTTAAACACCAAAAGTTACTATTACTTCTATTTAAGTTATCTATTACGATAAAAATTCAAAAAAATATTGAGCTACTCTGATAAATTTACTATAAATAGTATTTATAAAACTTCCTAACTGCATATTAATCTTAACAATACAATTTTTTTAATTCTCATAAAATTTTCTATTTAATGATGTCAATTTCAAACTTGCCAATTGAGCTAAAAGTTATTGCAAAATAAATTTTTCTTTTTTTTATTATAAACATTCACAAAAATCAACTTCCAACGGTTAAAAAAATAGGTTAAATATGTCATTTCCCTTATTTTTAACATATTAATAATTAAAATCAGTATTAATTTAAAACAATTTTTTTTTGTTCTTAATTATTATTATTTTTTATTTGTANTTAATTTAATACAATTTTTTTTGTTCTTAATTATTTTTTTTTATATGTAAATACTTATTTTTTAATGATAAGTAATAATATTAAAACTTAGAAGTAATAGAAAAAGTTTAATTGCACATTTGAAAACATCGCGAAAAGTTGACTTAGAAAAGTATATTTTTGTTTCTGATGAAAGTTCCTTGTATTCTAGTGTGTTTATTCATAAGTAACAAATTTTTTTTATTAAAAAGTATTGCATCAATCCCTTTAATTTTTTATACGTGTTAAAAGTATATGAATATACAACTTCTTTTTATTTTTATAATATCTCTGTAAAAATTATAATATTATATAATTGAATATCAATTTCATACTAAATTTAATTACTATAATTTTTATGTATTCATATATTATAATTATAAATCGGAATAAAATTAAGGTAATAAGAGTTATGGTTGTTTTTGAAATAGACTACCAATCTCTTAAAATTAAACACTATCTACAGATTTGCATCGAAGCGTTTCTTATGATAGTGATTTTAATCATTGTCAGATATCATCTATACTTGTCCTAACTATGCCACGTCCATACTGTGCCGCGACCCCACTGTGCTACCGTTTATTTTTCTATCATAATATTAAGTTAAGAATGGGGTTCCCATTTTTGAAAATAAAAGCTAAGGTTTTATGTATTTGATACCCCTTGTATAAAGGGATATGATCCTATTTAAAAAAAAAAAATGTGTCAGATAAAAGAGGTATATAAAAATTATTTATAAAAAATAATAATATTGATGCATACATTTTTCCAAAAGTTATAGCAATATAAATTTAAAAATATAAAATCAAGAATTTTTTCACGGAAATTGTACGTTTTTCATTAACTCTGATGTCCGTTTTCACCGTTAAGACAAGAGGTCAAATTTTTTTTTTTAAATTAAAGTATATTACATAAGCTATAATTTAAGATATACATAAAAGTGTCAGTCTTTCTGGAACATTTTCAAAAGTTAAGTTGAAAAAGTTCTACTTTCCATACGCATTTTTAAATATTTGAACCCCCCCTGTATAAAGGGAATTGGTCAGATTTAAAAAAAAAGTATGTCGAATGAAAATGATATAC